GCGGAGGGGGGGGGGTGAATGTGAAAACATTTTCCGGACATTAAAAAAAAGGGTCGACACATTTTTCCGGACATAAACCAGTTATATTAATGGTCAAAAACACCCCCCATACCCCCCTCAAGTTTCGCCCCTACTCCACGCAATTGATTAATAATTAAAAGAGCTATAAAAGCGCAAAAGCGCTCTAATCCTGTTCAGTTCATCCACCTCGAAATTCGAGTGAATCGTGTGCCGTAACCTTGAGCCCAGCTGTGAGCAGTTTGGCTTAAAACAGCTTGACCTAGAACGCTGATGAATATTTTCCATACCTGCATGCATTCAGCCTAGTATTATTATTAGTCTTATTTCCAAAATAAAGGCGAATCATATAAACTATTTGGAAATATTGACAGTTTTCCTGGCCTTAAACTAGCACCTTATCCGATATTAAACATGTTTGTGTCTGGATTGATAACTTGTCTGCTATGGTTGATACGGGCAACATGGGGACAAGTCATTCTATATGCATTAACCATGCAGACATATTCGGGATTGTCTGTTAAAGCGAAACACATGTTCTATAACAATACACATAAAATTATCAATTGGCAAACAAAATTCTATTGCATGCTGATGCAGAATCCAAGAAATCGAGAAAAGATCTTGAATGGTCATTAAATCAAAAAATATTTGAATGTGACATTTTCCAACTTGGTGTAAAGCCTATAACAATTAACTGATTTGTTTCAAGATTAAATGATAGAATCAAGCCATTTATATCTTATCAACCCGACCCAGAAATAATGATGCTTTCACAGTTTCCTGGCATTCTTATTTATTGTATGCCTTTCTTCCGTTTCGGGTTTTAATATTCTATGTTATGCTATGATATGTTATGTTTTTAATGAGCACAGGAATTTACCATTTGAATTGACTATTATTTACTCCCTTCGTACTCTGCACACACTGCAGCTTTAACATATATGTGTATACAGCAACATTGACCAATTATGATCATGAAGAAATGAGACTTACCCATGTACTGTAGAAGGTGAAATTGGATTTTGGTTCTGCAACTCATTGGCCTGGAATAGGAGTCATGTGCCCACCAAAAGGTTTTACCCAACCCATAATTTTGGCACGAGTGTTCGGGGCCTGTTCAAAACTGATCCATTTGGTTCGCGCACTTTCTCACAGGACTCCTATAGATTGCGGATCCAGATCAATAATTTGCAAAGCCAAAATCAAATTCCCCTTTCACAGATAAGTCTTATTTAATTAATTTTTCAATTTTTTCCATTACATAGATTCAAAACTGTTGAAACAGCATAATAGGCCTATACAATATTTTTTGCTTCAGGCCTATATATACAATACTCTAAATCAAATCAAACTTCACAACAAGCCTTGACCTGTCAGACCTGACAAAATTAATTCCTGCATGGTTAGAAGCTTGTGCTTGTATCAAGTTGACAACTTACTAACTCGGGGCAAGTTACTCTTCTACACCTTTACTATAGTCCTTACCTTCGCAACTAGGAAATAACAAAAAATTGAGACCAAAAAAAATGGCGAAAACTAAGCTGATCATCTTATGAACCCTAGATGAAACGAAGAAAATATTAATCAATTTATGGCTGCAAAAGAATACTCAGTAAGGCAGACTCCAAATTAGATTTCATTTCCTATCCACCGTCGGCATACCTTTTTACAAAATTTTAAGAAATATCGGGACACCGTGACAGCCTGACATCCACATGTCAATTTCAATTCAGGTGCCGACCAGGTTTGTTTGATCGGGGACTCATATCTTTTGAGGGGAGGTGGATACACCGTTCACATGCACATTTATATGCTAGCAGGGATATACTGTAATCCCTCAATAAAATACATTCACAACTTTTGCACACTCCAGTCTAATGCGTTTATCAGGCGGGAGTAACTTGCGACTTTAGAGTACCTTAAGGAAGATGTTAATGTCTAAATTGTTTTGGAATTCATTTTATTTCCTTAAACTACGAGTGGCAAAATATTTGGGCCTGTTAATGTTGCCTGTATTTGGCCGAGTAATTTGGCTGTATCTTATAAGATACGAGCATACACAATACTTTATTAACTAGAACAGTTTTAATTGATACGAAAATCTGTGGAACCAACTGGTCATAGGACAAATCGATCAAATTTTCGATCGAATATGGATGAAACTTATTCAGTACACAAACCACAGACAGGATATTTGATTGCAATAAACATTAATGCAAAAATAATACAGTTTCATACGAATTATACCAATAGTCAATACTGAATAACTCAAAAGTCTATTAGAATATTACATATTTACATACCTGCTTAAGGAATATTCCTGTAAATTTGCCACCAAACGCAATAATACGGTGTGTTGTTTTGTATGGCATAAAGTTCTTCCGGTTTCGATAGTAATTGAAGCTTGATATGCAAATATGAGACACACTTCCTGCCTCCTGTAAACTTTTTATAACTCGGGATCCATCAGGAAAACATTCCTAGATTTTTGTGGCTATGTGCGCTTGTTTGTTTCTATTTGTATATCAGAACGAAAATTTTCGGTATCAATGGTCATAGACATAGGCCAAGGTGATAAATTTACAAAAAATTATGCTGGACTGGACTGGATGGGAGGTCCAGTATTGTGCATAGATATTGCTTATAAGATACAGGAAATTCATTATTATGCTTCATATGTTAAAGAGATAAGTTTAATCTAAAGTCGCACGCCAGGCTGAAGTATTAGAACAATCGCGGCCATTTCTGAAAACTTCCGAGAAGAAAATAAATCTATTTTTATTGGATAAAAAAGATTTAATCTGCCCTTCTCCGCAGGCATCTCTAAAGGTTATCCTGGATTCTGTGGTTTTAAACCATCTGGTGACCCCAATGGAAATAAACGGGGGGCTACCTTTATTTAATCTTTAAATAATATTCCAGGTTCAAGTTAAAGATTGATAGTTGTTCTCCACATCTCTGGTTTTGTTCAACGCAGTGTAAGTAGAGTCATCATCATTTCCACCTCGATTTCCAGCGTCATGACTTGCAGCATTCACTCTCAACGACTGATAATTATATTGACGTTTCCTACATCTGAATTTACGACGAGAACATAAGGCAATATAGGAAAGAAGAATTCCAATAATAATCCCGGACACTAAAGATACAACAATATGCCACACTACAACAGTCATCCCATCATTCTCTTTGTTGGCAGCTGTATTGATTGAACAGAAATATTTAAAACTGATAAAACACAACGTCGTAGAAACTTTGAATTTAAACTTGTTTATTATCATGGTCTTCGATCTCAAAACATGCTGTTCGTGTTTCTCCCAGCCTCTCCCAGTTTAAATTATACTCCCAAACATGCATGTAGTAACCAATATTTCCGTGTTTTAACTAATAATGAAAGCTGCAGTGGTTAAACAACAAACGCCCCCTGCAATGTGTGTCCCCTGCAACAAAACAACACTAGCTTTGGTGAGGGAGGGGGGGGGGGCTTGTTATAGAACTATTGTTTAAGGAAGATAGTTCACATCAATATGTAGTCTATTCAACTTGCTTTCATAGCCAAAGTGCATATATAACTTCTGAACAAGTGGTATACATCTTACCTGATCTAGAATTCTCAGTAGTGGATAATTTTTGAGTGCTAATACCAGTTGTTGGATTTATTAATTGATCTAAACATAATGAAATCATGTTAATACACTTTCATTACACTCGAAATTTTGAAGACAAGGTGTATATATAACTAATAAGTAGTAAAGGAGAGGTAAAAACTGTTTTTGTATCTGAAAATATTAAATCTTACTTAGGATAGATAAATCATATATCGTTGACCTATTTCCAAGTTTATTCTCGGCAATACATTTATATAACCCAGCATCACTGTACTACACATCATCTATGGTATACGTCTTGTCATTACCGACGATCTTGGTATCATTATGGATTATGGTATAACTTGGTGAAGGATGACCATTGGATTCACATGTTATGGCAAAGGTTTTACTAACAACCGCTTTTTCCTTAAAGTATGGCTCTTCTGGTGGATCTAAGGAAACGAAAATAGTATAAAATATGGTTTCAGGAATCTATGGTATTAGTATGGGTGAGTGAGTGAACAAACCACAAAACATGCACGAGCGAGTTTTTCAGATACGATCCAAGTTGCACGAAAAGCCATACTAATATTATTACTTGTTGACTATATGCATGAAAAAATTATACAGAAGCAAATTGATATATAGTCACGTGCATGCATGAAACACACATGAACGAAATAATTTACTCACGAGTTTGAATGCCGGGCACAACATACACACTTTAAAAAATATACACATCACTAGTTCAAACATGCATTCCCTTTTTATCCAGTTCCTAAATTTGCATGTGTGCATACGCCACCAGTTTAAATATTTACATACACAAACACACACAATAGAGTATAGTGTCTATAGTATACTTAATTAAATATGGTCTCAAATTAATGTGCTTGATTCGAGTACAACTTATGGACGCCTAGTGCCACTTATACTTACAATTCACAATTAATTCAATTGTTGTTTCGTTTTTTTGCCTCCTCATGGCTTTTGGCTTCACATCTGTGTATCCTACTGTCGTCTTTACCAATATTAGGAAGACGCAAAATACCTATTTCTTTTTCTGTGACAATCGGTACGCTCCCTTTATACCAGGTAACGTTTGCAGGAGGGTTGCCACCTTGTTCTTTACATACACACATGTAAAGTTATCACCCTCAGTCAATGTGGTCGGACTGGAACAATTGACTGTCACTGCTGGCGTTACTAAAATGTAATAAACACATGTAAAGTTTTAATCTCCAGTCATACAACATCTCTAAATGTGATAAAGGCGACGGTTACACAATGCTTTGCGAATCTGATGAACAAATTTGCGACGTTTTGTTGGGCATCCGTATGGTTTGACAAAAATGATTAAACAATTGAAATTTCAAAATTTTGGTTGTTGACACTGATTTTTTCACAAAATTTGTTTATGCATTTGAACCGTTGTTGGACATCTATTGAATCAGTTGCATCTATGATTCTATGCATTAGTGTTATTCAATCTCATGTTCATATATGGGGTCATGCTCATCATGCCACTGTCAATGCCAATTATTGCTAAAGATTAAGAAACAATAATCTATTATTTATATGAAACTTACTTGCAATGAAAACCCTAACATCAAATTCACTAACACTTCCAGTTGCTATAAGGGTAAACCTGTATGTTCCATCATAACTTTGATTAATATTGTTTAAACCCAACGTTGCTGGCTTTGTTATGCTAATCTCGGGTAAGATGTCCTTTTGTATCAAAGGCTGAAGATCCAACAGTATTCCTCCAAGAGGTCCAACTCGTAAGCCGTCACTACTTGTGAAAAACAAAGTGCGGGAACCCACTTGAAATATATCATCATCAAATATCCATGTTATATTCTTACTTTCCCCAGGTAAAATGGTAAGGTTCATTCCATCAGGTGGTGAAATGATCTTTCCTAAACAATATGGAATAATTTGATATTTCCGATTTACGTTTCTAATTTACGTAAGGTTTAAAAATAATTAAAAGTACATACAGTATATATAGACGGTAGTCCATAGGCAGTCCATCTTTAAATTATTTCTTCTTGACTTAGCCCTATAGTAGTAGCCGTCAAATATCAAATAATATTTGTCAAAATTTCGCACGCGACAGCCGAAAGCTCATAAATAAAAATATTTGCTTATATGCATGCATCTTCGGATCATCCGCATGGGTGCGGATCATCGAAATCGTTAAATAACGAAAAATTGTCTGCAAAACTATCTTCGACGGGCATATTAATAGACCTTTCCCCTTTTAAGTGAAATTTTGATCTAGACAAGTCTGGACAAAAATTTCATCACAGCTTGAAAGAGCATCACAAAATTAGTAATATTCCGAAGTTTCGTTGCAAAATGTTGTATAGCCTTGCGAAGTTTGCCGTTTTTCAGTCATTTTGCATTACAAACGGGAAATTGATAATCAGTTTGATCATCTGATTATCAATTTCCCGTTTGTAATACAAAATGACTGAAAAACGGCAAACTTCGTAAGGCTATATTATCCGCATTTTACAACATTTTGCAACGAAACTTCGGAATATTGCTGAAT